AAACATAATTATCACAAAGGGACTAGAGAGTTGGAAATCCTGTGCAGACTGTGAAGGTGTTGAAGTGAATTCAGAAAGAAATATGCTTCAGAAAAGGGAAGTAGTAAAGTAGGAACTCTAAGGGCTTGCATGCCACCATGTTTTGCTGATTTTGCTGATTACTATTAGATATATATTAATAAAAATTAACTAATTTATAATTTATACTGTTTTTTCAAATTCCCATATCTGGACATATGATTTAATGCAGAGGCTTTCAAACAATTTTGCCCAAGACCCACAGTATGGAATACTTTTTCATCACACATACACACATGTACATTAATCTGTGGGTGGACACTTGGGTTGCTTCTACCTTTTGGCTATTGTGAAAAATGCCACTATGGATGTGGATGTACAAATATCTGTCCAAGTCTCTGCTTTCAGTTGTTTGTGTATATACCCAGAAGTGGAATTGCTAGATTACATGGTAAATCTATTTTTAATATTTTGAGGAAGACGATGATATTTATAAGGATGATTTTCAGATTACAGCTACTGTGAAATAATGGACTGCATTAAAATGTTCATCTGCATCTCCATTACTCTCCAGTATGCTGCCATTTTGCAAAAAATTCTCAAAGAAATTTTGTTATTGTGGTTCTGAGGAGCATAGGACTTTGTAGGGGCAGTGTCAGAGTAGCACCAACCTCTGGGGACAACCTGCCACTGAATGATGAATGAATAATACCCAATAAGAAAACTTCATATGGAGATCAAGAAATTGCCTCTGCTTTCTATGTTAAAATATATGCTTATTAATCTAGTCTGTTTTGTGTCATGACTATACAACCTTAAAAACTTATGCTTTTCTCCATGGGCTCTAAGCAGCCTCAAGTGAGATGGCAAAGAATGAAGAAAAGTCCTAAATCCAGTCAAAGCCATCAATATTTACATGAAACAAAATAGAAACCCCAAATAAAACCAAGAACCCTAACTTCTATTTCTAAGAGGTACGTATCAATGTAGGTTCATTGTGGGATAATAAAAAAATAGACATAAAAATATAGAAATGGAAACCATCTGTTCCCGTACACTTTTTGTTAAATTCTTCCCGATTATTTTTCTGGACATAAATATATTTTGTGCACATTTTAATTTATCAAACAAGGCATGCTATAATTTATTATTTTGTGACTTTTCCCCCCAATTTGTATGTTATATACACATTTATATACCATATCTTTTCTCATGAAATAATATTTATGATAGAAAAACATCAGTTTTTGTAGAAAAAAACATTTGACAAAATACAGCATCCTTTCTTAATAAAAACCCTCAAGAAAGTAAGGATAGAAGGAACATACCTCAAGATCATAAAGGACATATATGAAAAATCATCCTCAATGAAAGAAAACAGAACTTTCCTCCTAAGGTTAGGAATACATCATGGATGTCCACTCTCACCACTGTTATTCAACATAGTGTTGGAAGCCCTAGACTCAGCAATCAAACAACAAAAAGAAGTAAAAGGCATCCAAATTGGCAAGGAGGAAGTCAAACTTTCATTCTTCACAGATGACATGATACTCTATGTAGAAAACCCAAAAAGCTCCATCCAAAAATTGCTAGAACTGATACATGAATTCAGCAGTCTCAGGTCATAAAATAAGTGTACAGAAATTGGTTGTGTTTCTATACATCAATAATGAAGCAGCAGAAAAAGAAATCAAGGAATCAATCCCATTTGCAAATGCATCAAAAATTGTAAAATACCTAGGAATAAACCTAACCAAAGAGGTGAAAAATCTATATACTGAAAAGTATAGAAAGCTCATTATGAAAGAAATTGAAGAACACAAAAAAAAATGGAAAAATACTCCATGTTCATGGATTGGAAGAATAAATATTGTTAAAATGTCAACACTACCCAAAGCAATTTACATGTTCAGTGCAATCCATATCAAAATATCACCAGCATTCTTCACAGAGCTAGAAAAAACAATTCTAAAATTTGTATGGAACCACAAAAGACCCCAAATAGCCAAAGTAATGTTGAAAAAGAAAACCAAAGCTGGAGGCATCACAACTCCAGACTTAAGCTGTATTACAAAGCTGTAATCATCAAGACAGTATGGTATTGGCACAAAAACAGACACATAGATCAATGGAACAGAATAGAGAACCCAGAAATGGACCCACAAATGTATGGCCAACTAATCTTCAACAAAGCAGGAAAGAATATCCGATGGAAAAAAGACAGTCTCTTCAGCAAATGGTATTGGGAAAGATGGACAGCGACATGCAGAAGAACAAACCTGGACCACTTTCTTACACCACACACAAAAATAAACTCAAAATGGATGAAAAACCTAACATAAGGCAGGAAGCCATCAAAATCCTAGAGGAGGGAACAGGCAACAACCTTTTTGACCTTGGCTGCAGCAACTTCTTACTTGACATGTCTCCAGAGGTAAGGGAAACAAAAGCGAAAACGAACTATTGGGACTTGATCAAGATAAAAAGCTTCTGCACAGAAAGGAAACAATCAACAAAAATAAAAGTCAGCCTATGGAATGGGAGAAGATATTTGCAAATGACATATCTGATAAAGGGTTAGTATCCAAAATCTAGAACTTTTCAAACTCAACACCCGAAAAACAAAAGAGATGGGCAGAAGACATGAATAAACATTTTTCCAGAGAAGACATCCAAATGTCCAAAGGACACATGAAAAGATGCTCAACATCACTCATCATCAAGGAAATACAAATCAAAATCAAAATGAGATACCGCCTCACACCTGTCAGAATGGTTAACATTAACAACTCAGGCAACAACAGATGTTTGCGAGGATGAGGAGAAAGAGGAACCCTTTTGCACTGCTGGTGGGAATGCAAACTGGTGCAACCACTCTGGAAAATAGTATGGAGGTTCCTCAAATAATTAAAAATAGAACTACCCTGTGACCCAGAAATTGCACTACTAGGAATCTATCCAAAGGATACAGGAGTGCTGATCTGAGGGACACGTGTACCCCAATGTTTATAGCAGCACTATCAACAATAGCCAAAGTATGGAAAGAGCCCAAATGTCCTTCGACTGATGAACGGATAAAGAAGATGTGGTATATATATATACAATGGAATATTCTGTGGTGATCAAAAAGAGTGAAATCTTGCCATTTGCAACAACATGGATGGAACTAGAGTGTATATGCTATGCAAAATAGGTCAGTCAGAAAAAGACATATCATATGATTTCACTCATACGTGGAATTTAAGGAACAAAACAGAGGTACATAGGGAAAGGGAAACAAAAATAAGGTAAAAACAGAGAGGGAGACAAACCATAAGAGACTCTTAAATATAGAGAACAAACTGAAGGTTGCTGGTGGGTGTTGGGTGGGGTGATGGACATTAAGGAGGGCCCTTGCTGGGGCGCCTGGGTGGCGCAGTCCGTTAAGCGTCCGACTTCAGCCAGGTCACGATCTCGCGGTCCGTGAGTTCGAGCCCCGCGTCGGGCTCTGGGCTGATGGCTCAGAGCCTGGAGCCTGTTTCCGATTCTGTGTCTCCCTCTCTCTCTGCCCCTCCCCTGTTCATGCTCTGTCTCTCTGTCCCAAAAATAAATAAAAACGTTGAAAAAAAATTAAAAAAAAAAAAAAAGGAGGGCCCTTGTTGGGATGAGCACTAGGTGTTATATGTAAGTGATGGATTACTAAATTCTATTCCTGAAATCATTATTATACTATATGCTAACTAATTTGGATTTAAATTTTAAAAATTGTTAAAAAAATTTAAAAAGTAAAATATCAGTTTTATGGATACCACTTTATTTGTTTAATGTTGTATTATGGGACTTTGTCTTCGCAATTTTATTTTGCGAATACAACAATGAATATTTTTTTCATAGGTTAATTTTTAAGTTCATCTTGATTTTTTAGGATGAATCTTAAAAATAATATGGCTTTTGCAAATGTATGCATCAATTCTTATTTTTCATATTTGCATATTTTAAAAATATATTTGCATATTTTCGATATTTTTAAAAATGTTTTTATTATTTTTATTTTTGAGAGAGAGAGAGCAGAAACTGGGGAGGGGCAGAGAGAGAGGGAGACACAGAATCTGAAGCAGACTCCAGGCTTTGAGCAGTCAGCATAGAGCCTGACATGGGTCTCAAACACATGAACTGCAAGATCATGACCTGAGCTGAAGTCTGATGCATAACCGACTGAGCCACCCAGGCACCCCTGCATATTTTCAATATTAAAAGTAATATAAATTTATTATTATTACAGGCTTGAATAGTACAAAATAGAATAGCAAGAAGAGTTAAAATTTCTCTTTTTCCTCAAGGTAATTGTGTTAACAATTTAGTGAACATTCTTTTAGACTTTCAGTGCATGTATGCAAACATACATATTTATATAAATGAGATCCGATGCTACATTTGAGTTTGGTAACCCAAACTTTTTAACTTAGAAAATAGTGGATTTTTTCCATGTCATTAAATATTCTTTTACAGTATTTTTTGATGGTTTCAAACTATTGCATTGTGGTGGCAAAACTTTTCCTCTACTGTCTTTGGTTCAGGGTTTGGTGTCTATGAATTAAAATGACAAGAGACAGATTAATAAGAGGAAAAAACAGATTTTTTTATTTATCTATGTGCATGGGAATTCACAGAAAACTGTGAATCAAGGAAGTGGTTAGAATTTGGAGCTTATATACCATCATCATAGGGTCAGAAGAGGGGGAAAAGGGCATGTAGGGGAAAATAAAAGACTTTTAGGGAAGATAAATGGGCCTTTAGAAGAAAAGATAGATGTAACAGCTTAGCAACAATGTCTATTTAGGTGATTTCTTATCCTGGTGCTGATCTCCGGTGATAGAAGGGCACTTAGGACAGCTTAATTCTTTGGGTGAGGCTCTGCTTTTAGGCAGATGGGGGAAGTTCAGAAAAGAAAACTCTTCACAGTGGTATTTTCTGAATCCTTTCACCATATTTGTATTACCCAGGTCAATCCAAGTTTCTGCAGCCTCTGTGGAGGGGAACATGACGGCTGACAGCCTCTACTAACAGGTTGGGGCTCCCTCCTGCTGCTCCTGCCTTCCCAGCCACCAGCTCATTGGAGCAAGACCAGGTACTGACCATGAGCAATTACTCTGTTTTGAGGGGGCATGGTGCAAAATCTTTGCTCATGCAGAGAAGCTGGATCAATCATGATCTCATTATTGGATTTGAGTTGAGGTATAAGTAGAACGTTCAACTGTTCACAGTGAATTCACGGCTTAAAGATGCATGAAGGAGAGCTATGAGGGAGAGTAATTGCCTTGAAAAGTCAAAAATAGGTCAGTTAACATTATTGGGAAGCAGGATGTGTAAGAAAGGCTCTCAGGTTGATATAAATACATAGAATAAAGAGCTATGTTTTAGGGTAAAGACCGGAGATGAAAATTTGAATCTTGATACCCCACTTTATGGTATGTGACTTGCATCAATTAACCTTCTGAGCCATAGTTTCCTTATCAGTAACATGAGGATAATAATATGTCTGTTATTGAGTTGTAGGAAGAATTTACTGAGATAATATAGGTAAAACATTAAATAAATGTAGTCATTATTATAGCTATATCTTCCCATATTTACCTTATATTTAATATTCTTCCTGTGCTATATTTTTGCCTGTACTGTATTTTTGAATCTCTGGCATTTAATATATTAATTTATGAATATGTAATTAATGATTGCTATGTTATGTTCCAGGAAGTTTTCATAATGAAGTCTGGATTTTTTATTGACCAAAGTTCTAAAATAACCAAATAAATGTTTTATTCTACAACTTTCACTTTGAAGGGTAAAAGGAATATTCTACCAAGACTGATCATTTGATTTTGGGCTTATAAAACTTGAATTCATTTAATTAAAAAGAATATCAGCAGTGAAATACCAGTTGACAACTGGGTAGACTACATGCATCCTCATAGGATTTGAATTTCTTACCTTATTATTTTTTTTTTTTTCCTTAGAAAGGAAGTACCTAGAATTTTCTCTCTTGTGGGAATAGTATATAGAGGGGGTGGGTAGATTCAATTTTTAGAATATGTCAACTTTCTGCCTCTTCCCATCCCCACCCTACTAGATAATTAAGGACTACGTGGCATGTATAAATAGCCTCGGCTGAGAACATCCTCATATCTTTGCCCCTCTCATCACTGAGCAGGGCCCATAACTGATGTTGCAATTAGAGCGCTGATTTAGCTCTGAGAGACACATTGCAAATGATCCACTGAGGAGGATGGTATTTATATCACTACTGACTGATGAGGACTTTGTCAACTGTGCCTTTGGCAGATCATTCAATGGCACGCCCCTGGGTTAATCTACTTCTCATTATAACCGATGATCCATGGTGATATATTTTCAGAACCACTCATCTTACACAGGGTGCCATGATGTGGAACAGACCTACATAAATACAGATAATTAGGGAAATACTCAATCCAAAGTATAGAGATCAACAGAAGAGCTGTAGAGGTCAAGATATTTAGTGACTTACTGGGGCACATTTGGTATCATTTGTGCCAACAGGAATTTACACTTCTGGTTTTAGGGTTTAATTGTTTGTTTTGACATAAGAGAAAGGAAATCAAAGTAGATTGACTACTTACATTTGCCATAGAAAAGTCAGGCAATTTGAAGTTGTCTTTTTTCATTTCTTAGATGCTGTGAGTGCTTCAGAATCATAACATATTCTCAGGTCAAATATTTAATACAGAGTCAGAAATCCTAGGATTATATGATTAAGAGTTGAAAGCCTGTAGTTCCCTATCTATTATCTATCTACCTACCTACCTACCTACCTACCTACCTACCTACCTACCTATCATCTGTCTATCTTTCCTTTGTGTAAAATGAATAGTAGAAACACAAATATGGAGTTGGGCTCATAGTCTTCCCAACTCTTCCTTAATGGCTAGAAGGTGGGATGTTGCAGTGTGTTAGAAGAAAGCTTAACTTTTGCTCTCTTCTTTAATGTGGAGAATTTATATCTACTATGCTTTGTGAAGAACTTTGAAAACATAGCTTCATGTTCCAGCAATCTTCCTATAATCCTGCAATACTCCTGCTCCATGCTGATCCTCCAGCAATCCCAAAGAGATTACCACCTCTAAACCTTTCCTACATAAAAACCTTTCTATCAAACGTACACTGGGAGTCCAAATGATATTGCAATATGGAAAGCCATTGCTCAGTACACACTGAGTCTCCCTAATGGGCATCAAGGAACTCTTCTCCTTTTTCCATGCTCTCCTTCTCTCAGGACCAACCTCTTTCTCCTTTCTGATTTCTGGCTCAGGTGCTCAGCCAGTCAGATGGGTCCTATTGGAGCTGGAGAGAAGGGAAGTAGGGTGGGGGTGTCCTTACTCTAAAGAGTAAGGGCAAAATGAAAATGGTACCTCCTGATTCAATCTTAAAGTGAAATAGCTACCAAGTTAACTCTTCCCTTACTGGCTTTGGCCCACTTTTAGAAAATGTTTGTGTTATTTTGTGTCTTTCTTCCCTCTTACCAAAGACCCTTGGTATTGTTCTAACTTGTATGGAACAGAATGAACAGAGTGAAAATCTCTGGGTTACTATACAATCAAGCCTTCCCTGTCTTCTTCTATAAACATCTGCCTCCCCTGTGACTAGTGGCTATGGGCTAAGGACCATCTCAATTAGCATCTCAAAAATATCAGATGGAGCCCCTTGAGAGGATAAAAAACTAAGCAGGAAGTCCGTATGTGACTTAGGCCTTGTATCTAGAATACATAAAGAACTCCCAAAGCTCAAAAATAAGGAAAAAAAACCCCAGAATTTAAAAAATGGACAAATGACTTGAAAAAAAACTTTAAAAATCTACAAATGCCCAATAAGCACATGAAAAGATGCTCAGCGTCATTGGAGAAATGCAAATTAAAACCATAGTGAGATGCTATCCACATAAAAGAGTGGCTGAAAATAAAAATAAAAATAAAATAAAATAAAATAAAATAAAATAAAGTAAAATATAACAATTGTCATATGCTGATGAAGGTACAGAGCAATTGGAACTCTCATCCATTGTTGGTGGGAATGCAAAATGTATAGCCACTTTAGGAAACAGTTTCACAGTTAATATACACTTATTGTATGACCCAGTAATCCTACTTTTAGGTACTTACCTAAGTGTATTGAAAACATATTCATTCAAAAACCTACATGCAAATGTTTATAGCAACTTTATTCTTAAGCACCAAAAACTGTAAATAACCCTGATGTCCTTCATCTGGTTAATGGATAAAGAAACTATAGTTCATCCAAACAATGAAACCACTGAGCAATAAAAAGGAACTAACTTCTGATACATGCAACAATATGGATGAATCTCCAATTGTTATTCTGAGTAAAAGAAATGAGATTCAAAAAGCTCAAAATCATACCATCTGATGCCATTTATATGACTTTCTGGAAAAGGCAGAAAACAGAAAATGGAGACAACAAAGGGACATAAGGGGACGTTTTGAGATCATTGCAATGCTGTATATCTTCATGGTGGTGGTTACACGATTGTACATATTTCCTAAAACTCATAGGACTGCACTGAGAAGGGCAAACTTTACCATATGTAAATTACACTTCAGTAATTTAAAAAAAGAAATAGCCATCGAGAAGATGGAAGACAAAGATAAAAGTGATCAATCATGGCAACTTACTTCTTTAAGAAAACTAACAAAATTAGACAAACCCCTGGTGATATTACTCAGGGTTGCCAAAAGGACCAGGGAGAGAAGGCAGGACATGTGGAATAACAGGTCCATCCAAGGCAGCCTCTTTTGTCCCTTGAGGTTCAGGACTGTGGAGGAAAGGGACAATGAGTGAAGGCTGGGAAGATAACATCTATGAGGAAAAGTTGATAGTTTCCCTAGCAAACAGGGGCTGTAAGGGTAACTTGAGAGCCATGAGTTTCCAAGCCTCCTTGACAGTTTGATTACAGTTGGATTCTGCTATTTAGAAGTGAATAGCTGTAATGATCTTTAGCATATTATAATGGAATTTTGTCTACAACATTATTTAAAAACTAACAATTTATTGTGCTTATGATATGCTAGACACTATTCTATGTTCTTCATATTTATTAACCCATTTAAACATCTCATCAATCCTATGAAGGGAGGGATTATTATTGTCTCCATTTTACAGATATAGACATAGAGGAGCAAGAGAGGGAGTTGCATTTGCATCTCCTTGTTGAAACAAAATGATGTTTTTTTGCAGATTTCTCTTTCCAGTGTGTCCTTTTTCTTTTAATAGCATTCTTTCATTTATATTGTCTTTTATACTTGACAGAGTACTTTCAAAAGCCATATTTTATTTGCAACCAGAGGAATTTTGGTGTGAAGTAGTAGTTATTTGTATGTGTGGTTGAAGTGTAATGATGATAGTTTCTAGAAAGTTCTAGGAAGAGTTAAATGCTGCTCTTCTGAATTCCTTATCTTAGTTTTTATTTTCTATGCCCTTATAAAATTTCCCCTTTTCTTTTTTGATTCCTACTGATCCTTCAAGGCCCAGGTAAAGGCCCCACCTCCCCATTCAGTGATGTTTATGAAGTTCCTGCTATATGCTGGGCATCAGCTTTTCTTCCCTGACCCCTGAGGGAGTATGCCACCACCTTTCTTCACAATGAGAGTACAAAAATGAATGAACCCTGCCTTTGGGAAGGTCACTGTCTAGTTGGATAGTGGATGGATGCATGGTCCACTCTATGTCACATATCACTGCAAAATGGAGGCAGTGAATGAGTCTAAGGATACACATATTCTCCTGAAATAGGAAGAACAAGGAAGAATAGAGTAAAAGATGAAGTAGAAGAGAAAATGAAGAATATCCATTTGCCAAGAATAAGAAGATCAGGGGTAGAATTGGGAGCCTAAAGAAATAAGGGAGTTTTGGAACAGTTACCTTGGGGAATAGGAAAGGAGTCAGCTCACAATTAGTAATAGCAGTCATTCTGAACCTAGTGCACCATAGAATCACCTGATTAAAAAAAATACCAATGCTTGTTTCCTATCCTAGAGTTGCCAATTCAGTTGAGATTGTGGACGGGGTTCAGTCACTAAT